ACCACACCATCCTCCCAGATAACTAAATATTCCTTTTGTCCAAGATGTAATCCGCTCCCGTTACTGCAAATTTCATATAACCCTCCCAACAAGAAGCGATGGTCGCAAATCTTTCCAATAATAGTGACAGAGATAGTGAAACTAGTCTACACTAAACAGGGAAAAAAAGTGCTCGCATTGGAGTCCTGCAAATAGGTGGTTTCTCCACTCTTGACTTGATTGTACATATTCGATAGTTATTTGTTACCTAATGAAATGTAGTTATAATAAACTGTAAATAATAAAAAAACTACAATTTTAAAATTTAATTTAAAAAAGTCAAAATAAGCAGTTACTGGAACAGTGCATTATCGCTTCTTGTTTGTTCATCTACACTCGAACAATCTATAACAAGTCAACAAGTGTTGAACTGGTTTAAATTAAAAACTCAAGTGGTATATTTGATCTTTTTGTGTGTAAACTTTAACCCAGTTGTAAGTTCAATTAAAAAAAGAACTGTTGTTATTACTACGATAGATTATATGTGGGCCCTTGTCGAATCTGGACGGACTGGTTGTAAGCCAGAAGCTGTAAATACTTATTAAGCTGTTCGACCGCCGACAAACCTTCTCTTCTGCCTGCATCAAGTTCAAGGTTTGAATAACGAAATATTAAGAAACTATTTCAGGAATCCGCTTACAAAACGCCGGTTTTTAAATAACCGCATTAATTTACAAGCTATTTTAATTTTTACCATTTTTTATAAATAAAATTCCTTTGATAATTCGTTGAGAGAACAGTCGCGTCGCCGTCCCATCTGTGACTTGGAATTAGTCATTCAGACTCGTTCTTCTCTGGAATTGTTAAACGTTCGAATTAATTCTAGACCCGTTCCCGGATTTTCGTGAGAGAGAAAACGATTCAGCTCAATTACATGCATCCTTCCTACTCCTGGCAAACTCAATTTGCCTATTATTTACTCCAAAGGTCACATAGGCACGTATAGACTAAATGCAATTTCAAGAAGCTAACTTAATATCCGTTAAAAAAATCATTCCCAAAATACTTATATTGAAAACGCTTACTGAAATGTTCATATCTAAATGTAAAATAAACTATAATCCAATAGATTTCGTGGTTCGATTGACCAAATAACTTCTTTCAATTAATTAATCTTTATGTAAGGTATTGGTTGAGATAAAAAGTCAGTGTCACGAGCGGGATTCGAACCCACGACCTTCGGCTCAATACGCCGCTGCTCTACCACTCACGATAGCTCAAGTGGTAGAGCAGCGGTGTATTTAGCCGAAGGTCGTGGGTTCGAATCCAGCTCGTGACACTGACTTTTTTATCTCAACCAATGCCTTACATAAAGATAGACAATAATGTTGACTTTTAAGCAAAGATAAAAATTAATTATTAATTACCATATCTACCATCCCTAACCACCCGTAACCATTAATTTTTATGCCTAGCACGTTTTAAATAGCAATCTGAAAACTCATAATTACTTAGTCTCTCTTATTTTTGCAAAATTAGATTTTTTAAAGAAGAAGAAAAATAACTTTATACTGGGACTGGTGTCCCCTAAGAATAATTTACATGAACTAAATAAAGGAAATTTTAAACGATATGTTACAACAAATAAAACATTTTTTTACCTATAAATGATTTCTTTAGTAATAGTAATTTCTCTCTATCATTTCTGTAAGTCCTATAATTTTTAAATTTTTCGTGTTTAGATTTTTTCATATATTTTGTGTGATTTTTTCGTATATTATTTCTCCATCCTATATGTATTTGTTGGCTTTTCTTTTTGACCCCACAACATCTATATTTTCCAGTACAAATCATACACTGTAGGAGAAAAATATTCCTTAGCAGGATCACTTAACTTAAAAGGGGATGTGACGGACTTGGTATCACCGATACTAGGTTAAAAAATATTAGACACGTGGCAAATCTTTCTAGCCAATTAACTCTCTAAAAGTAATTTTTTTTAAATGTAAGCAATTTAAATAATCTTTCTTTAATATGAGATTCTTGTTTTGTTGTGCAGGTATTTCAAGGTTAATATTTTAGTTATTTAGAAATCGTGAGATGCGGTCTGGTGTGATGTAGGTTTCAGAAAAACATTTTCTTTATCGTGCCAACGTTTCGATCTTTATTGAGATCATCTTCAGGGCCTGGGATTTACAAACATTGTTTACATATTACAATTACATTTTGGATGTGGATTTTTTATATATTCAATCAAAGTATTTCTACTCACTCAAAGTGTTTGCCTTCTGTGTAATTGTGCCATTCTTGCGTGTCGTGTCGAGAATACCAGTGAGATTTTGCTATTTTGTGTATAAATACGTTGGATTTTGAAGGGGTGCGGAAGGATGTCGGTATAGAAAAGACATTTTTGTATAAGGCGTCGGCTTCTTTGAGCTGAAAGGAGCCGACGAAGGGAAAGGGAAAAAAGGGGTTGATATAAACCATTTCTAAGAAATTACGTTTATATTTGTTTTGTTCTGTATGTAATATTTTTGGATTTTTGAAGTCAAAATTGTGTAGGTGTTCAAAATGGTGGGTAGCAAGTGCGGTAGGATTTTGCTTGGGTTTTTTGCAATCATATCAAATATACCTTCAAAATCCAACGTATATAAACATAAAATAGCAAAATCTCACTGGCACTCTCGACACGACACGCAAGAATGACACAATTACACAGAAGACAAACACTTTGAGTAGAAATACTTTGATTGAATATATAAAATATATTTTGCATTGTATAAATTCACTTTTCCACATACAAAATGTAATTGTAATATGTAAACAATGATTGTAAATCCCAGGCCCTAAAGATGATCTCAATAAAGATCGAAACTTTGGCACGATAAAAAAAATGTTTTTCTGAAACCTACATCACACCAGACCGCATCTCACGATTTCTAAATAAATATCGATTAACGGTCACTAATCACCACACACGTTAATATTTTAGGTTATCCGTCGATTGTTTTAAAAAAATGAAATATAGGATTAATTTAATGACATATACGAAATATTAAATACGAAGTTTTGTAGCAAACAAAAAGTGTACCTTTTTAGCTTGTGCCAGCCGGGGGCATTTTTTTCTCGTATATGTCCATTTATTACTTGTCTGGATTTTATCCGGCCTAGAGAATCACCCACCTAGGGTGGTGGCAGTCCGGGGTCAGACCTTCCGTCTAGCCGCTTAGGTTGGACTTAGGGGGACTATCTAGATGCAGTTCCTAGAACCAAACCCATTCATTCTCTCATTCATTCTTAAATATATACTTTCCTGTTTACAAACCGTTTACTCATTTGGTGGTGCAGTACGCGATATTCCTCCAACACCCTTTACACTTATTGTATAACTCACCTAACTGAGGGTCGATGGAGTACTCAAGATTCCTCCTTTCACATTACACACTATAATTAATAAATTCATTCACTCTCAACACACGCTAGGAACATAAAACTATCATTACTACATACAATAAAACACCCCTGTTTCCTCCAAGAATCGAAACATGGGACCCAGATACTCGCTGTACGCTGAAGCACAATTCTCATATCGGATGACATCAAGTTTCAATTAGGTGTTCACATCGAGCAACCTTCCTGCCAGACACATACGCGGGCAACATAACACATAACCTTGCATGACCTAATCTCAAGAGTGTGAGGATGACCCTTCTCCCCAAGAGACAGGTTTTTCGAGAGCTTCTCTGCCGATCCGGTCCACCGACCCTGCTATTTTCTTTTAGTCGTGTTTTTTATTGGATTTTTAGGGTCTTCTAGGTTGTTTTATTAATTTATGTACAGAAAGAAAATGTATGTCCTTACTTGTAGTTTATAAGATCCTATACGCCTGTGGGTCGGTGGGGTCTTTTAAAAATTATCACATTTTTTTTGTCAATTTTCAAAGGAAAAAATCTTGAAAAAACAAACTTCCCAAAAATTTGTATTCAATGGTTTTTCAGTGTGCAAAAAGCGAACTTTGCATTTTGTTAAAAAAAATTGTAACCTGCTTTGCTGAATAATAGGCACTTAATAATAAAACTTCTAACATCAGTACTTTTAAATTAATTACAGGGTTAAATATGATTGCACAAAAAAAATATTTCAAGTAATGAAAATCTGTATTTGCAACTACTGATAGACAAAGGAGGATAAAGGAGCGAGGATAGGCGGACCCACGAGTTGTTTACGAATCTCTACTGAGTTTCAGCTTGGTCAAGTTTAGGCGCAGAATTTTTCTTTAGCTTTCTTATGGCTTTGGAACTTTTAAGCTTTTCGCGATGTAAGCTAAACGAACAAGGTTCAGGTCAGTTGTCAATCTTTTTATACTCATAGATTTTGGTAGTTTCCGATCATTTTGGTCTGATTCCAGGGGGATTTCTGGTTCAACATTCAAGACCTGAAGATGAAATCTCACAATTTGAAACACACACAATACAATTTATATTTTGAGACACAATTACTGTTGGTTTCTTATATGCTTATAAACGTCTAAAATTACTTTCTTATTGACTTAGACAATGGACATAGTAGCTAGTCGGGTCGTGAGGTTACTGTCCTCTCGGACAAGACTAATTTGAATTTTTGTTAGCAGTTAGTCGCAGTCGAGCGCGTTTCTATTGATAGAATTATCAGTGAATTTATTACAAATACCTTCAAGAGAAATGTTTTTAAAAAAGTAATGTAAGTCTTGCTTATGACGATGGGCCAAATGATTCATCACGTATGACATTCGGACAAGCAAAGTCCCTGAACTAACCTTATAAAGTTATAATTAAGTTTGGGTTGAGAAAAATAAGGGTTCAATCTGTTCCATAATTTTAATAGGTTGTAGTCAATTTTCCAGACTAGTTAGATGTAAAATGGAATATGTTCTGTTGACCAAAACATACCTCAGGGACTTATTCAACAGAAATGTTGAAAGTTAAATCAGTGATTTGTTTTACTTTTCTTACTTGACTTTATGCAAACGACGATTAGCGTACCTGAACAGCCGTGGCGATGACGAAGCCGAAACAAAGTGCGATCTGTACGATAGATGGCACAGGGCCTATGGCGATGCAGGACCCGCATCCGATGAAGACGAGGAAGAATGTTCCGAAGAACTCGGCGAGAAGGCTCCTCATTATTTCGTGCCAACTGGTCACGTCTTCTGTCCCGAGGATTGTTTGCACACCTAAAACGCAAAACACATATTTCAATAAAACAAATAAAATAATCTTCATCTTATATCTCATGATAGGAAAATTAGACAGTTCCTCTTTTATATAATTGGCTCTTGATTTCTATTAAAAAATGTTGTTTTGTTCTTAGCATTCTTAACTTTTCTGTGTCTTCTAGTTTGATTCTTTTTTCACCTAAGTTGCAATATCGATAAGTACTAGAAGGTCAACATGTATCATTAGGCAATAGAGATTTTCAAAAGAGAACAAGAAAATCAAGTGCGCAGTGTGGGTCCATCTAGGTCAATGATTAGCTCCACAAAAATTCCAGCTAGTTTTTTGAATAGTGACTTTATTGAAATGATCATCATATTATATTTACACACACAGTTAAACATACATTACTCTTACATTGTATGCATAGGTTCATATTTAAACATTTTACTCCCTCTCTCTTTCACTCTCTCTTTATCTCTCTCTTTTTCTCCCTCCCTCTATCACTCTCTCTCTCTCTTACTCTCATCCTCTATCTATCTATATATCTCTCGTTATATCCATATACCTATCTATCTAGCGTTCTCTCTCTTTATTTCTCGTTCTGTCTTTTTTTTCTTCCACTTTCTCTATTCCCTATCAACTTCTCACACTCACTCTCGCTCAATCTAAATCTCTCTCTTTTCTCACTCTCCGTCGTCTCTCATCACTCGTTCTTTCTATCAATATATCGATTTGTCTCCCATTCTTCTCCTATACTCTTGTTCTCCCACTCTCTTTCTCTCTTTCTCACCCTCTTTATCCATCTACCTATCTATCTGTCTCTGCCTGTCTGTCTCTCTCTCTCTCTCTCTCTATNGTCGTATGTATTAAAAGAAATGATGTACATCCATCGAGATAATTTGTTTTATAATATAAATATGGATATATATATATACACATATATATATATGTTTATTTATTTATATATCTACCTACCTATCTATCTCTATACGATACATCTATTATCGATATCGCTAAAATACATTCCATAATTTTTTTTCTCGATACTATTTAGAACTAAAAATACATATGGAAGCGTCCTCGATATTACGCCAATTACTCCTCATTCATACCGTCCACACTAGCCTTGGTGAAGGTTTTCGTTTATACTTATTCGGCCAACATTCTCGCTAATAAATACAATCATTCTCGAAACACCTACACATTTATCGTTAGTTGGTACTAATGCTTCATAATTTTTTTTCTTATTAAATGTGAGTTTAAGTTAAATAAATCAATACTGTCTTATTTAAATTTTCAAGAAATATACCGCTCTATAAATTATTATTTTCTTTATTACGAAAAGTACAAGAAATGTTATTTTAGTTTAAATTGTAAGATAATCGTGCTTCCTGTCTGCAGAAACCACCTGAATTGTGCACTTTACGTATTATCTTAAAATTATCAGCGGTTAGCCGCAAAAGCTGTCTGAGTGTCGCTATAGCGTCCGCCCTTGAAATGTTTAAATTTGAAACATTTGTTCAATCTAATAAAACACCAAGGTGCTTTTTTTATATACATAAAGTCAGTATTTTTTATGTTATATCATCTAAATTTACAGTAAACAGTTTTAACTGTCTTTTACTCAAACCTTTCCAAAATTAACGACAAAAAGTAATACATCTACCTTCTCTTCAATACATTTTCCTTTAAAATAATAAAACAAATTGGCTGTCTTACTAACACACGAAAGTTAAATAGACAGTGAATTAAGTTTTTACGTAAGAAAGTACATCGAAATAAACCTAAAAGAATATTAAAAGGCCTTTTTTAGGTAAACACCAGGGATTTGAGATGGATGATGTTTTAAACTCAGTAGGACAAGATAAGATTACCCTAATCTCCATAATCCCCTCAACAATAATTTACAATTTTGACACTTTATGATTAGCCACTCGTCTTTAATTGTTTGAGCTTTTTAACTGGCTTTGGTTCAAATATATCAATCATACCATATACCATGTCCAGCGTTCGCTTTATTCCTTAAATTATCTGTTATCAAATAAAATATTTTTGTCCATTGTATATTTCAAATTTGAGATGGCAGAGAAGCTCCTATGTATCAAGAGTACGGTTGATACCTAGCCGTCGTTGAATCTGAATCGTAGAAGAGGTATCGGACGACTAAGAATAGGCCATGCGAAGTTGACTCTCGCATATAAATTTGCAAAAGTTCGCTCGATGTGTCCCACTTAATTGAAAAATGCTCTATGCTGGCTTTTTGACTCCATATAGATAGTGTGCAGGATGGGAATTGTACTTGTGCGCGGCAGCGAGAATTTGGGATCTCTTTTTTGATTTTTGGAGGAAACAAGGCTGTTTAGAAATTTTTTAAAGGACAATTTAATATTTTATTTTACCATAAAAATCGACATTGAAATAAAAAAGGTATTATCAGGATTTTGATTTTTTTTGGGCTGTATGGATATTAAAAGGCCTGGAAATCTCACAACTGAAGACTCTCCTACACTCATTCTATGATCTTTGATCCTACATGTTTGATAGGTATTAATAAATCATAAACCACAATGCAAGGTGCAGCTTTTTATTCCTTGTCGGAAATAGATTACATCCTATGTTATCTTTTATTTGCAGTATACGGTAAAATCCTAACACCTTCCTTGGTATGTATACGTATATATGTTTATACATTTGTGGATATTTGGTTTGTGTTTTTTTTTTCTTGAGAGAGGCAATTTAGCACACATTAAAAAAAACTCTTAAAATCGGTAATTTTTCAATTTTATTCAGGATACTTAGTCGGCTTACTTTTAAAATTTTCTGTCAACCTTAGATTCTGTCAATTGAACCTTTTTTCTGTTTAGTAGCCCTTTAATAGATAGCGTTAGCGTGGAAAAAACCGTGGAATTTAGTTGTTGAGAATCAAATGTTTACCCGAATAATTCAAATAGTCCACTTGTTGATCAAATAAGCACTAGCGAGGCGTCTTCTGAGTCTGAACCGTTCTCAAACTATCATATAAAATGGTAACATAATTAAATTAAACAGTACTTCAAAATTTAAGTTTTGTGTTTGTTAATACATTATATTAAAAAAAACATACGAAATAAGTATTCTTACTTGTTTAAATGTTTAAACTTATACAGGGTGCGACTCGTGTTACAAACTTTGCCAGTAATTCTACATTCAAAAAGGAACCAAAATGTCTTATTAACTATGGTCCGAATCTCATCAGTTTAGAAGTTACTGCACTTTTTCTGTTTTTTGCAGATTTCACGACCTTGCTTCAAATAAACATTGATAACTCCTAAACTAAAAGGTTTTGGACAAATCTGTTGATGCCATTGAAAACTACGATAAATTTCCAATAAGATGTGATCAATACTAAACTTGTAAACCTTCGTGAAATAAGCGTTTTAGTAGCGAGAACTTCGAAATATATATATATATTTTTTAAGTTGAAAAACTTACTGGTAATTCTAAACTACTATTTTCAAACCTAGAAACCAGCAAAGTTCCATTTAATATCCTTTTTGGTGGTGCAATTACTTTTTTCAAAGATGAAAAAATGAATGCAGGAAAAGAAAAAAACCGTGGTCGAAGGATTGGTAGGGTTACACACTACCCATTACACCTTACCAATCCATCAGCCACGGGTTTTTTCTTGCAAAAAGCAATTGCACCACTAAAAAGGATAGTATTAAATGGAGTACGTTTTCTGAAATTTGCTGGTCTCTAGGTTTGTAAATAGTAGTTTGGATTCACGACAAAAAAATTGTTTTTCTAAGTTCTCGCCACTAAAGCGCTTATTTCACGAACGTTTAATATGGATTACATCTTATTGGAAATTTAACGTAGTTTTCAATGGTATTGTCCTTTGACAGTTTCTTACCTTTCAGTTTTGGAGTTATCATTGTTTATTTGAGGCAAGGCCGTGAAATCTTAAAAAATCAAAAAGTGGAATAACTCCGAAACTGCTGAGATTCGGACCATAGTTAATTAGCAGTTTTTGGTTCCTTTTTGAATGTAGAATCTACGGGCTGAGTTTGTAACACGAGTAGCCTGTATACATCTAGATTTATAGATTAAACATCGTACTTACACTGATCATTAGTCAATTGAACTTTTGTAGAAAAGCAGTTTAAACTAGATTCGTTCGGCGTGCCGCTTATCCAAGCTTAAAATGTAATTGTTAATTTATCACAGGAACGTCCTTCGTTCGTAACGACCCTCGTCCATTGTTAACGAGTGTAATCGGTCTAAAACGCAAGTTAGTATTATAGTTAATAAGTGACCTCTTATTTGGGACGAGTCCTCCTTTGGCTAAGATAAAATCCAATGGCCCTGTCAGTGTCTGAAACACGAATCCTATCGGTTTTAAGAAAAAAAATTCAAACTTCAAAATATAAATGTATTTTATTTTTAATCCAATTTATTTTTTTCTATCACATATTGTCATCATTCTTGTAGAAGAAATATCCACTTTTTGTAAAATTCTGAAGAGTTAGATGAGATATGTTAATCTGATTTTCAGAGTGTTTTCGTTCAAAATTTCCCTGCCTTATCCTTATCATTTTCATCATTGCAAACGATCCTTCGGCGTCGAATATTTTTGCAAATGACCGCCGTGACCAAATAGGAAATAAACTCTTCACAAGAAACAATGCGGCCTTCTTTGGGGGTGAACCTATGAGTTGAATTTCACAACGTAACCCTGAGATCTGATTTTTCTTTCTATTGTTATGAGATGTTCCTGAAATCTCTCTCATATCTCTGGTAAGGATAATTTTGTCCTCATACTTCAATGCCACGTCGTCGCTTTTAAACTCGTTAGGCATTCCGAAAAGGGGCTGGTCTTTGATTCATCTCTCTTCATTGCGAAAACGTCGGAACCGCTGTTGACTGATTGACGCACACCTTCAGTTACTAAGATATTACCATAAATTCCATGTAAATTTCGACATACGCCCGTCTCCGAAATGAATTTTATCTGCTCCCATGTCGTAGTTTGTTCTATATTGATTTTTTGAATCAACTATCTCTTTGTTAAATAGAGCATTTCCCACACAAGAACTAACGGCGATAGAATGTATGCCTTTATAAAGATAAAAATTGAAATTTGAAAAAAACAAAAACGCACACACCCAATATTTCAAACTTGATGGACAAGCTTCACAATTTTCAGGGGGAATCGAATAAGGTGTGATCAAATTATTTAATTTTGTTTGGTGAATTTATTATCTTTTTTAACTGGAAGGATCAATGAACAATAATAATGTAATCAGAACGGAGAATAGTTCAATAACCCAAAAAGCTGCAGTAAAAAACACAAAATATATCACACATAATAGTAAAGCGCGATGTTACAAGAGAACAAAACAAATAATAACCCAATGCAACGAACATAAAAAAAAACATCTCTTATAAAGCATCACATTGCAAAGCTCGATATTACAAGAGATAACTGTAAACAATCTAATTAAACCACCTTGGACGAACACTTAGATTATTAAGTGTTGTTCGAAAAAGAAAAATATAATAGGGAAAATTATTTCTGTACAACTCGACTCCTATTTTTTTATAGAAATTATAATTTTATAATAAAATAAATAGTAAACAAATTGTTGGGTTAGATGAGTAAGTATCTTACTGACTAGTTGGTAAAACAAAATCGCTCGTGGCTGAATTGCTGTTATTAACAAACTGTGTCATACGAACATTCACACTTGCAAAAATCGACCTAAATTTACTGAAATCGAGAATAAATTGTTTATAATTTGGCCACGCTTTTTTGACGAGGGTTGTTTATCCTGTGAAAGTCAATTATTAAATTACGTACTGCTTTTTAGGTGCTATCAAATTTTCGTACATTTTCGGCATAATGATGAAATAGATAATTATATATNTTTTATGTATTGTATAGTAAACAAGTTTGAAATATTTCAAAACAATCACTCAACCCATCACGTGCTAGGAGATTTGGTTGAGAAAGTTTTGCTCATATATGCTCTGAAAACCTAATCATTCCAAAAAAAAGAACTTTCTTAAAAGTGGAAAAAGTATGAAAATGACTTATTAATTCCTCAATTGACCAACAATTCCCCTAACTGGCAAAGCTAATTGGCATGCAACTATGTTTATATGCATAACTAATTTCCAGTAAAAGACCAGTTTATTTATTTTTTAAAAATTAGTATCTGGTTCAGAAATTATACAATTAGAACGTAATAGCTGTTAATAAAAAGACAAAACGTTTTACTGGTAGTATAATGGTACAGTGCAAGTCTTGAAACGGATTAATTACTGCAGAAAGCATTGTATAATCTATCTAATAACTATCAATTTGGAAATGATACTTATAATATACTCAAAGACACCAAAAAAACCGGAGGTTACTATTTTGTTGTTTATTAATTCTTTGTTGTTTAAGATTGTTTGAACGAAAATCCACCAAAACACCGGAAAATCATTCCTAAGCATCGAGTAAATAAACGATTTACGAAACAGATCCCCATTCTTCAACAAGAACATTTCGAAGTTGTTGAAAGCTTGTTGGAGGCGGCGATCAATGTTTAACGTGTATCTTTTTCAAGTCCCATAAGTCTCTATGAGGTTCATGTCAGGATAACAGCCCCATCCTCATTTTCCAAGTGTCCAAACGAGATGCTGATGAAGCCTTTCTACTCGATCCCTTTCCAGTAGTAGAGAAATGATGCGGGACTTCTACAGGCTAGGCAATTCTCAGCCTTCAGATGACTCCTTTAGAGCTCACCTGTATATTACGGACCGGTTTGAGGTTAAACCGTTAAATGACGGTTCCGTAATGCGTTTAGAGAATATAAGCCTAGCCGTCGTACATCGCGGTCAGCCACTGTCTTCTCTTTGATCGAAACGTCCGATAGCCCTAAACGCGACCATCGTGGATGATAGAACGCGGTGCCCCCAGGACTTTAGATATCTAAAAGACCCCGTTCTATGTCTATCTATTTACTTCATTGGCTGAAGTATCTGCCCGGGCAAAATTTTCTCGACTTAAAACCTTTAGACTCTAAGTAAAAAACAAATTTTAATTTTTCTTTCATGGAAGAAAACAATTTAAAAAACCAATTAACTCACTCCACAAGTTGGCTCTGGAAAGGATGAAATCGAACTGATTCTCCTTAGTTTTAATCTAAAGAGTGTAAAATTTGATTAATAACACTTTATAAAGGTAAATAACACGTTATTAATTTTCTGTTTACGTTTTAAACTAACCTTTAATCTTTATACCTAGTTATTGAAGAAAATAAACAAGTAAATACAAATGTCCGGCGTTTTTTAGTCTTTGAGTGTATGTTTTTTATAAACTTTCAGGTACAATAAGATTTACACTTTGTTAATTACTAAATTATTTCGCTAAACTAATTCAAATGACTTTGTCCTTTGAAAAAATTAGTATTGTAAGATTGTAAGGTTGGAGTAGCCTTCTAGAAAGCATTATAATTTTCTGACCTTATACCTGCTGTTTCCATCTCAGTTAGGCATCTAATGTCATTCCCAAATATTTAGATGCATCCCTGAATGGTTTATTGGCTCTATCGATGGTGATAAGAGTCGTATAGGCTAGTTTTTCATTTTTGAAATCTATATTTATTTATTTCAGCTAATTGAGCTCGATCCGTTATTTTTTAAAACATTTATTTGTGCTTTTTTATAACCTATAAAATTTGGGATTTCGCAATTATTAAATTGATTGCGTATGTAGAGTTCGCTATATAAAGATCTTCCAACACGGTTGAAGAGAAAGGCACAATTCGGGCCAGGTTCATCAACACAGCCATAAATCACTTAAAATAACTAACCACAAATAATCGCAATACAACACAACAAACATTTACAAAAACCAAAAAATTCCTTAAAAACAATCGGATAAATCTTTTCAGCGGATAAAACAAAACAAGCAGTTGCCGTTAATAAAGATGACTTCATACAAAAACTCAGCCCAATTGGAAATGACACAAACACATATAACACACTGAAGTCCGACCCCACACCGTCACTCATCAAGTATACCAATAAATCCTACAGCAAAGAGTTCAACACGAAGAAATAGGCATGCACACAAAGAAATCTTATAATTCCACACTACACAACATGACACGACAAGAATAGCACCACACTTCATGCGCTGAAGATGACCCGAATAAAGGCTGAAACATCGGCCGAAAAAAGAAACGTGATGCAGGACATCGCTATTTTCCTGGTTCTATGATGATTCATTCAATCTTATTTTTCATAAAACCAAATAAAAGTAAAATAAAAACAATTTATAAAATATCGTTATTATGGAAAGTGTATAAACCATTTGATTAAAATATATCTTTCATTTGAGCTTTTATAAGCTTAGATTAGATAATAATCCTATTTAAGTCAGTGTAACCAGACAATTGCTTATGTTTTGTTGGATTGATATTTAAGAAATTAATTAGTTCAGACATGTGACTAAGTCCACGGTTAAAAATACTAATCAAGGGACTAATCAGCCGTTAAGAGACAACTGACAGTCATCAAAAATTGGTGGAATGAAACGAAAGCAAAAACAAAGAGATTTGATGAGCATGTAAAATAAAAGAGGACCTGAGATGGATCCCTGTTCAACACCAGAATAATACCAATGTCAGATCTTTTGAAATTGAAATTGACAACTTAGAAGCGACTAATCACTATGAAATATAAAATTAACAACAGGCCCAGCTTAATTGGCTAAATTTTTGACTAAGCTTAGAAATCAACAGACTATGCAAATCAGACAGCCAAAAAGAGGCATATACAGTCATCTGTATATAGGTGGGATAAAAGTAGGAGGGAAAGGTGAAATATAATGAATAGAAATTTTACAAGTGGCAAAACTGAAATTAAGTTTTTCCTTATTTGGAGATCGTGAGATGTGGTCTGGAGTGACGTAGGTTTTCGAAAAACTGAATGAATAAAAATAAAATTGAGATCATCTTCAGGGCTCAATAAAGATCGAAACGTTGACACGATAAAAAAATGTTTTTCTAAAACCTGTGTCACACCAGACCGCATCTCACGACCTCAAAATAATCCTCAAGCAACGGTCACTAAACACCACACAAAATTATTACATTATTTGTGTTGAATGCTCCATTAGGATGATGATGGTGGTGATTCTGAGAATAGAAGGGTATGTGCTCCCCAGGCACTGCGGCCTTCTGGTTTATTGTACCTTCCTAGTCCCAAGTCCAGTGAAATCGACTCAATCCTTCTTCACAGATGTATTATGGCATTGACCGTTGCTACTACCATTTTATTCCCTAGGTTTTTTTCTATATGATAGGTTAAGTCTCCATTGAGCCGTTGTTTCGCATTCGAAGATGGGATTATCGATATGTGTGCTCCCCTAGGACACTCCCAAATTTATTTTTCCTAGTTCTGATTATTATCTTGCTTAACTCTAAAATGTCTTTCGGTTTAGTAGGAAATAATATCTACTGCTTCCCCCTTAGTTCACTGGTAAGTCCCTTGTGAAAGACCTAGTCTTTTGTCCAAATCAAGGACGATAGAAAAAATTAGTTTTTCTTCCAGTGACTTTTCTATTATATCAGTTCCTCGGCGAATTTGGTCTATTGTTGGATGTATTGAATAGAATTTAAATTGATGACCTGGGAATCATTTTGTTTTTATTCTTTGTACTCATAGTTTTATTATTTTTAGAAAAATGTTTTCAACTTAGAGATTGTCGGTGGTGCGATTTTACTTTATTCGAAAAAGGCGATTTTCCCGGTAATCATATCACGATGACTTCTACAGATATTGGGAACATAAATCTGATTGCAGCTTTAAATAGGTATGTTCGAATGTAGGCCATATCCTGGAGTCTTTTTAGCAGGAAAGTTTTAATTTCTTCCACGCTTTCTTCGGGTGTAATTGTCAACTTTTGATTAAACAATTAACGATATAAGTAAAGCACCGTTGTTAATGTTTTACATAAAGATACACTGTTAATGAACTATTTTTATTCAAAATTCACGAACATTTTCTCTATCTCTTTGTATTAAATTTCCTTACCGCCGCCAAGAAAAGCTAATAATCGTCAACTTCGGCATTTGAAAAATTTGCAGGTCGTAATTGTGATATGAAACGATAAAAGAACAGCAAGTTAAACTTTACGTCAGAAAGCCAACAAACCGTGTTTTAGGACATTGGAAAATAATAGATAAGAGTTAACAGTTTATCGATGACCTTACTTAGTTATCTTTCTGGTTTCGTACCAGAAAAGAAAAATTTTTACAAAGTTTGATCAATTTCCGTCTAATCTTTAATGGTTACTACTTACGAGATTATTTTACAAACGGAGAAATGCATTGATGTTCAATATTTCCAGGTCTGTCTCTAGACAGTGTAAAAATCCAAAATACAATAACCATAAGAAAAAAGAATTACAGAGATAGTACCTCAACCAGAGGGAAGAATGAAGGCCCTCACAGCCATTTATTGGACACCGCAAGATAAATTTATGGCGAATAACCCATCTTCTTGCAGCTGAAACATAGCAGCAACCAGCACATTTATAATCCTTTTGGACAGAACGAATAAAAGAGATAGTGGGATGAAGGATCATGGATATATTGGACAGCGTAAGCCGATGGGCATACCAGAAGTTCCTGGTGTCGTGTACCGTGGTTATTTTAACCAATTTTGTATCCGAAGAATTTTAATTTTTTTTTTAAATAAGCGAGAAATGAAGTTTTAAGTTATATACATAAATCAAGGGTAGGATGAATCGACCGTAACGATATCACCAATAAGTTAGAGATCAGGGATGCGGTCATCAAAGTTAATTTTGTAACTTATGCCAAGCTTTCAACCTTTATTGAGGTCTTCATCAGGGCTCTACAAGTAATTGCAACGTTTATAATTAATGATAGGTAACACAATAATTATTAAAAAACATTGAATAACTTACTCGTCAGAGTATTAAAAGTAAAATATTACAATGATAACAGTAAAAACAGTACATATATATGTAACCAAATGAGAGCTAATCAATTGTGGTTATAGACATACTTACACAACACAGACATAAAGGACTAAATTAGGCAACTGTATCACTTTTCAAGTTTAGTGAATTAACATCAGATTTAATATGTAACCTTTCTTTTACTAATCTTCTGTCCATGATTGTCTCACATAATCAAAGTTAATTTCATGATTTGTTTCATCTGTGCTGTGCCAACCTGGTATCCAGGTATTGTTTGGTCTGACTTAGTAAACCAAGGAACAATCTTTACACCGGGTAGAGTAAATCAAGTTAGACAGTCTTAAAGGCGGATCAACACACTTTATGAGAAAATTTTCTTACCCATCTTATTGTTGAAAAAAAAATTAAAGTTTATCTATTTCTCCCAAAACCTTATTTTGTGTCTTGTGAATCATACCATATTTTTTCTAACCAAAGAACATAATATACATATATTATATATTTGAAATACCAACAACATAGACACATTTCCTGTTACATCGTTTGATGTTGCAGTTTTTTTATGGGACTTTTCGCCATGAAAAATATATTCTAATATGATCTTATTTTCAAATTTCCATATCTGTTTTCTTCATATTTTTTTAAAATTTTAACGCTTATTTATACTAGCACAAATAACAATGATAACTGTTTGAATGAGAAGGTCTATTTGGACGCAGTTTTTTATTAGTGTTTTAAGATTGTTGAGATTACAAAAAACCGCGACAAAACTGGTTCCTCGGCATTTATTAAATTCCAGATCGTTCTAGCTTGGAAAATAGCTGAAATAGAGACTTCAGACAGAATAGAGTTAATTTAAATACGTCTATAACCCTTTGGGAAATATGATATTCGTTGATCGACCTGCAGATAATCTATGTAGGGTTCCAATCTTCGTAGAGGTCATTAGACCTTACAGTGCCATCATCAGGGCCTATTTTATTATGGAGCACATGCCCAGCATAATACCTTTTTGACGGTGAAAACAGACATCTACATAAAATTATAAGAAATTATTAACATACAATATTTATATTTGATAATGAAAACAATATTTTATAGTAAAGTAAAACAATACCTTGCTACAAATCCATATGACTAAAGGTCCAACTATTTCTTTTTCTTCT